GCCCGCCGGGTACAAGAGCCGCCTGCGCGCGCTGGGCTTCGAGCCGCCCGCCCCGCCCGGCTGCGGACCGCGGAGCCAGATCCCGACCCATGGGCGCGCGGAGGCTGAGCCAGGTGAGAGTGCGCGGAGAGGGCCGCGGGCGGCCGCTGGACGCCCGGTGGGCGCCTTTTCTAGTCCCTTCCCCGACCCCGGCCCCGACCTGGACCCTAAGTCGCCGCCTTCCTGTCCAGCGCTCTCCGCACGGCAGGGTGGTGTCCCGCGCGGGGTCCGCGCTCCCCGAAGTTTTCAGGGCAGCCGCCACCCTCGCCTGGTCCCGAGTCCGGCCCTGTGGCCAGCCGCTGGCTGCCTGGTCCCCGGCGCTAGAGCTAAACTAAGTCTGCGCCCCGGGCCTGGTGGCGGCGTGGGGGTGGGGCGCGCGCGGACCCCGGCCCCTCCCGGCCGCCCGCCCCCCAGGAATGCGCGGTGACTAATTCAAACCAGACCGCGGGCGCGGGGCGGGGCAGTTATGTAAGCGCGCAGGACCCGGGCGGCCGACCCACGGGGGTCGGGAGCCCATGCGGAACCTGGCCGGGACCGCGACCGGTCCCGACCCCACGGGATGGCGCGGGCCTCCGAAGTGGCCGCCGTGAGCCCCTCGTGTGTGGGCGGGGCGCGGCCCAACACTGGGCGCTGAGGACTCCGCGCAGCGCCCTCGTCCCGCGAGTGGCTGTCGACGGCGCCCACGAAAGATTGTCCTGCGTTTTCAGGTGCCTGCAGCGCGTGGGGTCGCGAGGACTCTGGGGTGCGCGTGGCAGTGGCGAGCAGTGGCCAGGCTCGGGGACCCTGTCGGTTTGTTTCGGGGCGCGGCCCGGCACCGTCCCCACCCACGCGGCAGAGGGAAGTCCCCGCAGGGCGTGGTCCCTCCTGTCCCCAGCCGAAGGGTGGCTCCCTCTTCTGCAGAGGACCTCGGGACAGAGGGTCCCTGGTGGCGGCGAGTGCAGATTGGGGAGCACGGTAGCCTGGGGTGGGGTACACCTGTTTGCTGCGAGCTGCGGGTTGAAGCAGGTCTGAGAGGACCTAGGGCGGGCGGCGGCCAGTGTCGCAGGATGCGTGGGATCCCCGAAGCCCTGTCCCTGAAAGTGTATATAGGGACGCGGAACACGGGGGTGGGGGGGGAGCGTCCCGGGGCCACGTTCAAGCCTGGGGAGCTCCGACGTCTGCTTGAGCTGACCCCGCGGATACGACGGCCCCGTGCAGAGGTGGCTGAGGTCATGGTACGTCGGGCGGGGCTCGGGGCCAGTCTCTGGGTCTTAGCGAGGCTGCGGTGCAGGAGCGACGCCCGGCCGGGCCAAGCCTGAGAAGCTGGTTTGTGAGGTTGGGCAGAGCTAGGGGTGGGGAGTGTGTGGGCCTGGGTGTGGTCACTCCTTCTTCGGAGCTTGGGAACTGCCTGGGGACAGATAGGCAGACCGGGAGAGCGAGTCCCGGCTCCGAGCCGTCCCTGTGGGCAACACTGAGGTTTGAAGAGTGGGCGCGTGGAGGAGTGGCAGGGCAGTGGCCCATGGAGGCTCTTGGCTTTGGCTCCCGGGTCCTACGAGTCTCTAGGCGGCCCCAGCAGTCCTTGCGCTCCCTGGAATGTGGGGGCACAGGAAGGCTCCAGGGATCCCCCCCCCCCGCAGGCCCAAATCACACTGCGACTGGAGCTGGTGTCTTCGTCTGGTCACTGTATGTCTCAGGGATGAATGACTGTGACCCTGAGACCCCGCCACCGCCCAACTCCCGGTTTGTGATTGGGGTGAGGCTTATGCACCGCCCGGAGAGAGTGTCCCGCACGGTGTGCGTCTTCTCGTGGTCACCCTGGGCTGGAGGTGGGCGGTAGCCATTTGCTCGGCCTGGGTACGTGCGTCCGGTGACTGCAGAGAGTGAAGGGTTTCTCAGGACTGGGAGGGGCAGGTGCAAGATTGCGGAGCTTTGGGGAAAGGAGGCGCCTGGAGCTGTAGGCCTGGGTTGTGGGGGACCCACGGGCTGCTGCACTGGCGCGGACTAGCCGCTGGGGGCGAGCGTGGGGCGTTCCAAGCCAGGCTAGGGTGGGACACCAGACAGGATCACAGCTGTCCTGGACCCCGGTGCTGGCAGAGCTCCGTCTACCCTCGCACTGGGTGTCCCTGACCCCATGGTCCTGGAGAGGTCCAGCCGTCAGAGACTTGACCAGGCATGGGGGATTCCACTGGCTCCGGCCCTGAGGTCCCCGGGCTGTCTCAAGCGGGTAGGTGGTGGGAGTCCCTTGGGCCAGGGATAGGCAGGGCTGGAAGTGAGTCCCTGCTGGGGCCTTAGAGCAGGAAGCTGGGCCGGTTGTTGAGGTGGACAGGACAGGTGACATGAGCTCGGGCCGGCCCAGGGAACCCCGGGCAACAGGTGTCTGGGATCTGGCCAAGGTACTGCTGTGGGTCTGCTGGGCAGGAGTGGGCTGGGGGTTGGTGTGTCTGCGTGTTGGAGCATTTCCCAGACGTCTCCCAGCCTTTTCTAGAGTTTCTTGTGATCTTTGCTGGTCGTGGTCATGGTTATTGGAGGTGAGCCATCTGGAAGTGAGCACACTGAGGTGTGCCATCCCTGGGGAGCTGAGTGTGGACTTGGGACACCCTGGATCTAGACCTGGGGGTCTGGGACCCCCTCCCTTCTGTTCAGTTTCTGGGCGTCCTGTGGTGTGTGCTTCTGCCCTCTGTTTCTTTGTCTGGGTGAATGCTGTTCAACTTCATTTTCACCAGGTCATGTCACTTCAGGTCTTTCCTTCCTTTGAGGTCCTAGTTCTCCCTTGCAGGGCTGCTGGGCTAGGGGTGAGGCCCTGGCACAGATGTGGCCAGCACAGGGCCTTTTGCCCATAGTGTTCTGTGGCTTCTTGTCAGCATGAGATGTGTGTGCTATGAGGTTTTTAGGTGTGTGTGGTGTGTAGAGTAGAGCTTGTGGTGTATGTGGAGTGTGTGGTATGTAGAGTGGTGTTTTCGGTGTGGAGTGTACACTGTGGAGTATGACGTGCAGTGTGGTGTGTAGAGTAGAGCATGTGGTGTACATGGCGTCGGTGGTATGAGGTGCTCAGTGTGGTGGGGTGTGTGGAGTGTGACATGCGGCATGAGCTCCTCCAGGCACGTGTGCCCTTTCGCTCTTGCTCCTCGTGCCAGGGTGGTCCAAGCGTGGACTGCTGCCCTGTCCTGTGGTCTTGTGCTGTGCATGGGGCTCCTGAGTGGCAGCCCGGGTAGGGATAGCTTCTCCCTCTGTAGCCTTGTGGAGTGAGCTTGTGTCTGTCGCTGGGCGGCACCTTCCTCTGTCTCCTGGGTGGAGCCCATGGCGTCTTGCTGTTGCTGTGCTAGTGGGTTTGGGGTGTGGGGGTTTCGGTTCCTTTGCCTTCAGCTGCAGGGCAGGAGGAGCTGCTCCTTGCGGGGTGAGAGCCTGCACTCTCTGGAAATCACTTTGTGTGGAAGACTTCTTTCTGCACTTGGCCTCCGGCAGCTCTAATGGCACCTTTCCCAGCTCAGGCACTCCCTTTGCAGGTCGGGGCCAAAGCATCTGTCCTGGGTGTCATTTGTCTGTAAGGTCTAGGGCTGTGCTCTTCATTCCCCCCCACCCCCCGGGACGTTGTCATCCAGGGGTTCTGGGCCCTGTGTCTGGCCCACAGCCTCCTTCGAGGGTCTCTTCCCAGGTCAGGCTGGGAGTGCTGCCCAGTGGCCCTGTAAGCACCTTGATTCCTTGCAGTCCGGACTCAGGCCTCAGCTGGAGAGGGGCAGGACGAGGAGGGAAGGTGTGAACTGCTGCAGGCTGGGGCCTGGCCACCATGGCCTGTCTCCACATCTGCCCCGCCATGTCAACTTCCTCTGGGGCCAGGTCCGTGGAGTGCTGTGGTCCCAGATCCCCAGTCCGAGTTCAGGGTTTGGGCTAAGCTGGACATCACCTTCTGTGCCCTGGAGCTGCACTGCTGGTGACTCGGTGGGAGGAGGGGCCTTGTGGATGTTGGACTTTGTCCCTGTGGTTGGGGGGGGCCTCCTTGGGTGTGGCTTCACATCCTTTCCTGCTGGACAGGGTCCTCTCCCTGGGATGACACTGTTTCCTCTTGGGAGGTCAGACTCTCCTGGCTGTGCTGAGGTGGGGTCTGCCTGAGGCTTTGCACTGAGTTGTAGCCCCAGCCACCATTTTTTTTGTGGGGATTCAAACTCAGGACCTTTTTAGTGCTACACTCTAAGCCTTTGTTTTTTTTTTTTTTTTTTTTTTGTGGACCGGGGGATTGAACTCAGGCCTTTGCGCTTGCCAGGGAAGCGCTTATTCCACTGAGCCATCTCCCCAGCCCGTGCTAAGCCCTTTGAGACAAGTTTCACTATGGAGTTTAGGCTGGCCTTGAACTTGCAGTGATCCTCCTGCCTAAGCCTCCCCAGTGCTGGGATTATAGGCATGTGCTAACACACCCAGCTTTCCCAGCCAACTTTAAACACTTTCAGAGATTGAGGCTGGTCTGAATTGGCCATCCTGGGGCTGGGGATTTGGCTCAGCGGTAGAATACTTGCCTAGCAAGCTGGAAGCCCTGGGTTGGTCCTCAGCTCCAAAAACAAAAAATAAAGCTCTCCTAAAAAAAGAAAAAAAATTCAATCAAAAAAATACAGTAGGGCTGGTGAGATGGCTCAGTGGTCTAAAGCACCTACTTAGAACAAGTTTAGCAAAGCACAGGGACCGGGGTTCAATCCCCCAGCACCACATGCCAGCCAGCCCCGCCCCCTGGTGGGCTGAGCTGGCCACACACACACAAATAAAATTTAAAAAATAAATAAATAAATAAATACAATCATTATTATTAAAAAAAAATACAGTAAAATGAATTGGCCATCCTTCGGCCTCAGCCCCCTAGAGTGCTGGGCTCAGATTCCAGCACCCTGAACTTTGTCTCCTGGGGTGGTTCACTCCCCTCTGGAAGGTTCTGAGCCTGTCACTTGCAGAACATTTTGTTCACGACAGGCTCTGAGGGCTGTCCCCTCCACCCCCGCATACAGCTGCCCTTGATGACTTGTGCAGGCTGCTCACATGCTGTTCAGAGCTGGGTAGCGGTGTCTGTCCCCGGCCAGGGTCCTTTTCAGAGTCCAGCATGTTGCAGGGAGTGTGGGTGGGGTCTAGGCATTGTGAGCAGCACCTGCACAACTCTTTAGGTGAGAATGTGATGGCTTGGCTGTCATTTGGCATGGTGGCTAGAGGTTCTGCTCTCCCCAGGATGTCCCCCTCTCTTGATCCTGAGGACTCCAGCTAGAGACACTGGGGTGGGGATCCCAGCAGCTCTGCACAGCCTGTGGTTCCTGAGCAGTGCCCCATGGAGTCTTTGGTGGTGGCCTGAGGACTGTGCTCTTACAGTTCCTCTATCTACAAGGGAGCCCCTATTGGCTCATTTTGGGGATGCGGGAATGGTTTCAGGGAGAATCTGTTTTGGCCAGCCTTTAGGACGGCCGTGTAGCCAGAATGGGGTGGGAGCTAGGTATTCTCTGAACCGTGGCCATCGTGGCTGGGCTGGTAAGTCCTTGGTGGCAGCTCTCACTGTGAACTTGCTCCCTAGGCTTTGTGACTGATTCTGAAAACAGAGGCTGCGCAGGGAGTGAGGACGAGGGGCGGGCTTCCAGCCACATCTGCTCAGGATCTGGACCTGCCGAGGTCAGCAGGGCACCTGGAGGCTGGCCCAGGGGAGGGGCAGGGCACCTGGCAGGTAAATGGAGAGTGGTCCAGGATCCTTACCTGTGCCTCATCCACCCCTCAGATGGAGAAGGAGGAGGAGACCACGCGGGAGCTGCTACTGCCCAGTTGGCAGGGCAGTGGCTCTCATGGGCTGACCATTGCGCAGAGGGATGGTGGCGTGTTTGTGCAGGAGGTGCAGCAGGACTCCCCTGCCGCCCGCACTGGTGTGGTCCAGGAGGGTGAGTGGAGGGTACAGGCGCTAGAGGGGCGGGAGGGGGTGGTGGGTAGGGCCGTGGTTCCTATCCCTCTGCGGGGCAGGCATGGTAGTTGCCCAGTCCTGAGCTTAGTTTCTTTGTGCTAAAACTGGGCTTCCTGCTGGGACTGTGATGTGGCTCCTGGCCTGTGGGCTTGACTGGGTCATTGCTCACTATTTAGGGGACCAGATTGTGGGTGCCACCATCTACTTTGACAACCTGCAGTCTGGGGAGGTGGCGCAGCTGCTGAGCACTGTGGGCCGCCACACTGTTGGCCTGAAGCTGCACCGCCCGGGCGACCGCTCCCCCGAGCCTGGCCAGGCCTGGTCGCACGAGTCTGTGGGCTTCCGCAGCCCTGAGGTGGTTCTGGTGAGTACCAAGGTTGTACCTACAGGCACTTTCTTGGCTTCGCTTTCTCTGTGCTCCCCAGCCCCTCCCTATCAGTTCCTTCTACTTGCTACCCCACAGGGCAGACTTTTTCCCCAGTCTCCTTAGCACACCCTGCAGCAACAGCAGCCACATAGCCTGGGTCCGGTGACGACGGGGAGGGTATGGCTTTGCAGGTGGCACTCGCCTGTGGCCCTAGGCAGTGTTGTCCGTGAGTTCGAGGCTGCAGCCCTGGACTTGTGGGGATGCACTGTGACCCTTCTGTAGGCTGTTTGTGGGACAGGTGGGCTGTGGTTAAGGTGTGGGTGCCAAGCCCAGCGCCTGACTCTGGCTCTGCACAAGTGTTTCAGTGTGTGAAGGCCTGGGGGCTCTTGCTGCTGCTGCTGCTATGTGTGTGTGGGTGGGTGGGGTGAGGTCTTGCTGTGCAGTTCCAGCTTTCCTTGACCTTGGCAGTCCTCCTGCTGCCTGGGTCTGATTGCTGAGACGATAAGCCTTGTGTGCTACACCGGGCTGTGCTCACCACAGTGTGGGGCCCACAGAGTAGAGCTGCTCTCCACTGTCCCCAGATGATTCTGCTTAGGTGGCTATTGCCTTGGGGGTCTGCCCCATGGGGAAGGGGTCCCTGGTTCTCTGGGATGTAGCACTGTGTCCATGGCAGCTGAGGAGGTTTTCTGCAACCTGTGCCTGGTGTGTCTCTGCAGAGTGGGGATGATGAGGAGTACCAGCGCATCTACGCCACCAAGATCAAACCGCGGCTGCGGGCAGAAGAGGAGGTGGCCCTGGACCCTGGGGAGACCCAGAGCCGCACTATCACTGTTACCAGGAGGGTCACTGCCTACACTGTGGACGTCATTGCTCCGGAAGGAGCCAAGGATATTGACATCAGCAGCCCTGAGTTCATGGTCAAGATTCCGAGACATGAGGTGACTGAAATCTCCACGGTGGATGTGGAGACCAGGCCTGGAAAGATGGTGGTCAATCTGCCCTCAGGGTTAGAGCTCCAGGGTTCTGGCACCTCAAAAGTCCAGGTCTCCATGCCAGAAGTCCAGGAAGGGAGCCCGGGTATCAGTGTTAGTGTGAAGGGCTTGGACTCAGGTGACAAGGCAGCTGTCTGTGTTCCTTCAGGGAATGTCCCCTGTTCTGTGGGAGCTGGGGCAGCAGAGGCAAATGATGGCAAAGTTAAAATTCCTAACTTGAAGGTGCCTAAGTTTGGGGTTTTGCCAGGGCCTGAGGGCCAGATATCAGGGGGTAGTGGGTCCAGTGTGGCCATCCAGAGTCCACACATGGATATCAGTGTCTCAGGGATGGAAGGGAAGCTGCAGGATTTCCAAGTCCCTGCACTGTCCCTTGAGGGCAAGCTAGGCCTAAAGGGGACCAAGCCACAGGGTAGTACTGGAGTGGACATCTCTGCCCCCCAAATTGAGGGTGGGGTCACAGGTCCCCCCATGGATGTGCCAGCCCCTAGTGTTGGTATGCATGTGCCCATGGTGAAGGGACCTTCATTCTCCACGCCCACTCTAAAGGCAGAGGGACCTGACCTTGATGTGACATTGTCCACAGGGGAAGTGACTCTTTCAGGGGTCTCTGGGGGTGTCAGTCTGCCTGAGGTTGCTCCTGGTGGGCTGGAAGTAAAGATGAAGGGTGCCAAGGAAAAGACTCCTGAAATGATTGTGCAGAAACCCAGAATCTCCATGCAGGATGTGGATCTGAGCCTCAGGTCCCCCAGACTGAAAGGAGACATTAAAGTTTCTGCTCCTGAGGTAAAAGGTGAAGGAAAGGGCTCCCAAGTGGCCCTGAAAGGCTCCAGAGTGGACATAGAGGCACCGAGCATGGAGGGGGCCTTGTCAGGCCCCAAGCTTGGTGGTCCTGTGGGGAAGACATGTAGGATCTCCATGGCCGATGTGGACTTGAATGTCGCTGTGCCCAGAGCAAAAGGTGGTAAGGATGTCACATTCCCAAAAGTAGATGTGAAGGTCGGGGTGCCTGAAGCTGACACCAGAGGTCCTCGAGTGGATGTCAGTGGCTCAGATGTGGAGCTTCGTGACCCAGAATGGAACCTGAAGATGCCTTCAGCCAGCATTCTAGGAATCAAGGGGGAAGCGCCATGTGTGGACATAGCTGTCCCTAAAGGGAATGTCAGTGTTCCAGGGCCGAAGGTCAGTGTGGAAGTGCCAGGTCTCCACGTGGAGGATCTCGGAGGCAAACTTAGGGGTCCCAATAGCAAGCTGCCTGAAGTGAGCTTGAAGACACCTCAGGTCTCTGTGCCTGGTGTAGATGTGTATGCTAAAGGAACAAAGGTGAAAGGTGAATGTGGTACAGTGGTACCAAAGCTTGAAGCAGAGGTGCAAGGCCCCGATGTGGATGTTCACAGCTCAGACTGGCATCTAAAGATGTCCAAGGTGAAGATGCCCAAGTTCAGCGTGCCTGGCTTCAAAGCAGAGGACCCTGAGGTGGATGTACACCTGCCTAAGGCCGATGTAGACATTTTTGGGCCCAAGGTAGAGGTTGGTGCTCCAGATACGAGCCTTGAGGGGCGAGATGTGAAATTCAAAGGACCAAAGTTTAAAATGCCAGAAATGAACATCAGAGCTCCCAAAATCTCCATGCCAGATGTGGACTTACACTTGAAAGGTCCTCATTCAAGGGGAGAATATGATGTCACAGCACCAGGTGTTGAGGGTGACATTAAAGTACCTGATGTTGAACTTAAAATGGCCAAAGTAGACATTGATGTCCAAGATGTAGAAGCTCAGGGCCCAGACTGGCACTTAAAGATGCCCAAGATGAAAATGCCCAAGTTCAGCATGCCTAATGTCAAAGCACAGAGTCCAGAAGTCAGTGTGAACCTGCCCAAGGCCAGCATAGAGATCTCAGGCCCCAAAGTGGAGGTTGGAGCCCCAGAAGTAAATGTTGAAGTCCCTGAAGGGAAGCTGAAGGGGCCTAAGCTTAAGATGCCAGAGATGAACGTCAAAGCCCCCAAGATCTCCATGCCTAATGTGGATTTGCATATGAAAGGTGCAAAGGCAAAGGGGGAATATGATGTTACAGTGCCAAAGCTGGAGGGCAACCTGACAGGCTCCAAGGTAGATGTTAGTGCTCCAAATGTAGATCTTCATGGCCCGGATTGGAGCTTGAAAATGCCCAAGATGAAAATGCCCAAGTTCAGCATGCCCAGTATGAAAGGAGATGTTGCAGAAGTTGATGTGAATCTGCCCAAAGCTGATTTAGACATTTCTGCACCAAAGGTAGATCTTAGTGCCCCAGATATTAGCCTCGAAGGGCCAGAAGGGAAGTTGAAAGGCCCAAAGTTTAAGATGCCAGAGATGCACTTCAAAGCTCCAAAGATGACCCTACCTGATGTTGCAATGGATGTTAAAGGACCTAAAATAAAAGGGAATCTAGATATATCTTCATCAGATATAGAGAGTGAGATGAAAGTTCCAGATGTGAACCTAAAGGGGCCCAAGGTAGATACTGATGCTCCAGATGTGGATGTGAAAGGCCCAGACTGGCACCTGAAGATGCCAAAGATGAAAATGCCCAAGTTCAGTATGCCAGGCTTCAAAGCAGAGGGCCCGGAGGTGGATGTGAAGCTGCCCAAGGCCGACATTGATGTCTCAGCGCCCGAGGTGGACATTGATGTTCCTGATCTGAATATTGAAGCTCCAGATGCAAAAGTGAAGGGCCCCAAGTTCAAGATGCCTGAGATGAACATCAAGGCCCCCAAGATCTCCATGCCTGATGTGGACTTACACCTGAAAGGACCAAGAGTCAAGGGGGACGTGGATGTGACCATGCCACAAGTAGAAGGTGAGGTGAAAGTTCCAGATGTGGACCTCAAAGGTCCCAAGGTGGACATTGATGTTTCAGATGTGGATGTGAAAGGCCCAGACTGGCACTTGAAGATGCCAAAGGTGAAAATGCCAAAGTTCAGCATGCCCGACTTCAAAGCAGAGGGCCCTGAGGTGGATGTGAACTTACCCAAGGCCGACATTGACATCTCAGCACCCAAGGTGGACATTGATGTTCCAGACTTGAATATGGAAGGGCCAGATGCAAAAGTGAAGGGCCCCAAGATCACGATGCCTGAGATGAACATCAAGGCCCCCAAAATCTCTATGCCTGATGTAGACTTACACCTGAAGGGACCCAAAATGAAGAAGGAAATCGAAGGTGAAATGAAAGTTCCAGATGTGGAGCTCAAAGGGCCCAAGGTTGACATTGAAGGCCCCAAGATGGACACTGATGTTCCGGATGTGGATGTGAAAGGCTCAGACTGGCACTTGAAGATGCCTAAGGTGAAAATGCCCAAGTTCAGCATGCCTGGCTTCAAAGCAGAGGGCCCTGAGGTGGATGTGAACCTGCCCAAGGCCGACATTGA